ACAGTGGCTGTGTGATAACAGAAGGGCTTCAAACCATTTATGTTAATGCAGAAAAATTATTAGTTTCTTCGAGAACAACTTACCCAATTGTAAGCCTAGCCTGCAGGGTAAGTACCCATACCGGCAGTCCGAACTGTTAAAAATCTATGCCCTGTTTTGTTGTTTTAGAACAAAATGGCTAAATAATCAAACAAAACCTACCCTACTCTACTCCATTCCACTCCACTCCACTTCAATCCACTCTACTCCACTCTGGTCTTCTCAAGATTTCTAAATCCTGTTGTTTCACTTGTAGTCGCTAACAGTGAATTTGTCCTGGATTTTCCCGCACGGCAAAACACTAGCTACGTCGAAACAAACACCCTACCGTCTCTAGAAGAGTTTACCCTTTGCTTCTGGATAAAGCGAGGTTATGATGGTGCTCTTCAAGGTGCAATTATTTCGTACGCCACAACACAAATGGCCAAATCTTTAACAGTTCGTGTGGGTTCTTTGGGAGGCCTAAATCTCCGTATCATGGATTCAAGGTATGCCACCAAATGTACCAATATCTATGTCAGTATAGATATCTAGATATGTGTAAACGAGTTGATTTGCAGAACTGCTTTCAGAGTGTCCAATATAATAAACTAGATAGCAAATTTATCACCATGATAAATGAATTTATGCCGCCTGATTCCTTTAGACTAATCCCAGTTCCCAGCCGTGGGTTTTTTTCCGGAAACCTGGGACTTTTAATTTGCTCGTAGTTAAACATACACCTGAGTCGCTGGCAGAGTCCTCTTTTGCTTCAATTGCTCAACTAGAGAACAAGCCTCCTTTCAGTTACACCGAAATCAGGAGGTTTGACCCTCCTCAACCCCGGACCAACCAGCCTCTCTTAATTGTCAAATCGTTTTGGTTTCATCTCACGGGTGCTCCTTCACCTTTGCTGGGAACCGGTATTTTGGTTATATCTGAGTCTCACTCCTTTTGTGTAAAAACGATAAGAAAATAAACGGCTACATTACAACCGCAGCCAAATTATCTCCAACTCAGTACAAACCAAGCTCAGCCAACACAGTGTGCTAACATCGAATCTATATCCAGCTTCATGAATCAGAGAGCATAAATAATATATATATTCTAGCTTCCAGAGAGCACAAGCGCAAATAACGATCGTTATTTGTTCTGGACCAGTGTAATTGATTATGAGGAAAGATTAACATCAGCTGGTGACATGTTTAAACAGCCTTTTTATCGCTGTTTTTCCAAAGTCTATTAAATTCTCGAGTAAAACATCTACTTAGTACAACCAGTTAGGAAATCAAAGAGCTGTTAAATCTTAATCTATTTACGAGAATGATAAAGGTTGAATGTGAGCATCGTACCAGTTTTTTATCCAATTTGAAGTGAAACCAAAACCAATCGTGACTTTCTCTCATCTCACTCGTTTTAATTCCACGCGCTTTGCTTGAGCTGCATGATATGTATTTACTCTGTTTGTAATTTAAGATTGTGTTGCTGTAACAATTCGTTCTATGATTTAAGTGACAACAACCTTGTTTATGACCAACCACCAATCACTGACGATCAGTGGCACCACGTGTGCATCACGTGGACCAATGTCGATGGCAAAGTTCTGGTTCTCTTGGATGGCGTCTTTAAAAAAGCCGCCTTGGGATATAAGGTTGATGTTACCATTCCTAGTGGAGGAATTATGCGTATTGGACAGCAACAAAGAGAGCTTGGAGGTGACCACAATCCTGTGCAAAGCTATCGTGGAAAGTTTGCCAAAATAAACATGTGGAACACAGTGCTAGATGGGTCGGTGATTGTAGCGTTATGGAGCAGTCCCGGTGCCGAAAGTGGAGACGTCATTTCGTGGGGAAACATGCGCACTGCATTGATCAGTGGGAATGTGATGGTACAAGACGTCGCCAACATGCAGCTTACAGGTGACACTAGAACAATTCCTTATTACACCAAAGGCATGCTTAAGCTTTCGATCTTTCGTAAGTTAATTTCTCACCGTGAGTGTGACCTCTCTACAAGCTGTTGTGGCCCTCTCTCTGTCACGCAATACCACATTCTTGAGAGAAAGGGTCTCTTTCTCCCGAGAGAGAGGCGTTGCGTGATAGAAAGAGGGCAAGAACTGGACTACCATATAGATAGCATCTCAACTGCCATATGAATACATATGTAGATCTAACCACGTTTAATACAAAAGGAAACCTACAGAGACGGTTCATCGCTCAGTAATGATCTTGCTATAATCCGCCTAATCAGTAAAGCTCAACACGAGTATCAAACTAAAAAAAAAAAAGCAAATAGAATATGCTGCTGACTAGCTAAAAGAATATTTTTAAAGTGCTAAAAATATATACTATGAACGTTTCTTAATGCATTGTAAGGGATATGATAATAATGATATACTGACTAGTTGCTTCACATTTCAAAAATTACATTTTATTGCGAGACATTTCTCAGAATTAATATTTCGGGAACTCACAAAGCTTCGCACCAGCTTGTGACCAGGGAGGGGGTGGGAAAAACTTCGACTTAATGAGAAAGTATTATAGGTGTTCATGTGTACAGGAAGAAGATGATCGCATAAAGGGTTGCATGTAACAGAGAACATGTCTGTTAGTTGTACATTATACACGTGCATTCTCCTGATTGGCCAGGAAACCTCAACCCGCAGGCTGTTGAACAACTGAAATGAGATCACGCTTTCATTTTTTGAGCAAAATTTTTGTGTTTTTTTGGAAAATTCAAGCTTGCTGAACGAGTTAACTAGTCTTTATTCCACATTTGTTAGCCATTCTTTTGCCCAAATTCTTGCAGAAAATTGCAATGAACGCCCCAATTTTTTTCTTCATTTTTTTTCAGCGCAAGAGAGTGACTTTGATCTTTACTTTGCATCTAAATCATCTGCTAATTATGTAGAATACAATTCAGCCGTGCCTTCACTTACCAAGTTTACTGCTTGCGTCTGGATTAAGATGTCCCATAACGATGAGGGACATTACTTTTTCACCTACGCTACCGGTTCTTCTGCTCAAGCCATTGCATTGGGGTATTACCCGGGCAGTTTAAAACTGCACTTTAATGTCCATACAACTAGCTGGCAGTAAGTAGTCTTCGCAGTTTTTCTCATTTGTCTAAGTATGTGTCGGGGAGGCGCGGGGGCCCTCATGGTTGGTGTGCTCGTCTCCAGATCGAGCGGTCCGGGCTCGAGCCCTGGCCGGGGACACTGTGTTGTGTACTTGGGCAAGACACTTTACTCTCACAGTGTCTCTCTCTACNGAAATACTCCTAGTCGCTTCATGTTACGGAAACCGGGATAAGCTCCGGCCTGATGGGCCACTTGGCTCGTATACAGACTTAAATATATGTAGTTAATTGTTTCATCTAAATGATGGATTCCTCAGTAAGCAATAAGGGGACGATACTGAAAGATGCACCGAGAGAACCTTATGTTGAAAATGCAAAGATCAAAAAGAGACAACTGATACAGGTAGATTAAATTTGCGAGTTTAATTTCATCAATTTATGGGAGAGAAACTAATGTGATTAGTCATTGCAGAAAGCCTGAGCATGAATTCAAGTCAAATTCGCAATTATGCTAACGGTAAACACCTAGGCTAATCTGTGATTCATGGTCATGCTCTCAAATGCTCTCAAAGGACGGGGATGCAATCGCCATCTCACCATCTCGCTTAGAGGTCTTCATCTCAAATTCTGGCCTCACTTAAGTTGTTTAGGTCGAAACGCCACTATTTTGAGCTGTTAAAGTATCTTTTAACGGCATAAAAAAACGCTGTCATGTCTGTGTTAAAGGGGCCTAGTAGAACTAGCGCGATGCCCAGATTAGTCTCTGTTAGGGTTTTAATTCAGTTATAGCGACGAACATCCCCAACCTTTTTCATATGGGAGTCCCCCGGGGGGAAGTTCCTCGGGAAGTGAGAACCAGGCTCAATGTAATAAATCGGGGAAGGAAGCTGAGGGAAACATGTCAGTGATTGACCGTGCCTCATCATTTAGAGATTACACTTTGTCAACTGGTTTGCATGACAATGGCTGGCATCACCTCTGCTTGACATGGAGAAACACGGATGGAAAGGCGTGTTTGTTTGTAGATGGGATCAAGCTGACGTGTGTAACTAACTACCAGACCGGTCAGACAATCGCTGCAAATGGAAAGTTTATTCTGGGCCAGGAACAAGACTCATTGGGTACAGTAGCTGATGGGTTTATTTGTTATTGACCTTGCATGAGGTCCGTTCTGGAGAGATATATGTCGAGTTCTTTTTTTCTTTCTGTCGTTCTTTTTTTGTTTGTTTGTTTTTCTTTTTTTCTTTTTTCTTTTTTCTTTTTGCTGCGACTCGCTAATTACAAAAAAGAACGAGACCATTATTTTCTAATACGGACCGATTAAGTTAATAGTATTTGTTATAACGGCTTGTGTAAAACAAAATTCTGCTGACAAATTTATGTGTCGTTGTAAGCCATTCTCGCTAAAAGTGCGCGTGCAAAAGTCAAGAATTCACTGACGTTTTTCGACCGTTTGCAGGTCGTTCGTTTGAAGTGGTTTTAAAAATTCCACTTTTTCGCCTATCATGAAGGAAAATTCTAGTGACTGTACTTAAGAGCAAACAGTTCTCTTTTGTGCAATGTTTTGAGTAGTTTGGACGGTCTGTATTGCAAAATTAGGACCTCTTAAGTAACCATTTAGTATTGGTATCATTTTCATCTTAGACCAGTTTTCCATTGAAAGACATGTACAGGTTATTGATTGTGTGGTGATACCTGTAACAGATGAAAGGCAACTGAGATTTTTTTACTAGGGGTTGAGAGACAGGGGTGGGGGTTGACTTCACTTTTTCTCATTGGGCTGTCAACGGTGGAGCCAAAAGGCCTGAAAATGGGTTATTTAGACCTTTTTTCAGTTCAGTTTATGTTAATCCTCTGTTGTACTTTCTGTGCTCCCGAGTCTACTCAATGTAGTAGTAAGAAAACAGAAGGATACTGGCTTACTCTTTATCATGATCTCGATCTTGAAACCTGTTCTAGAGGAACAGGGATTGAAATTCACAAATGGTCGACTGATATTTATCATCCTTCAGCTACAAAAAAATTATTTCAGTACATTGCAGTGTTCATGTATGTATGTAGTATGTGAAACCATAGTTAATAGAGGGAAATGGTTATGAAACCTGGCAAAGTTCTTCGCTGTATGTTTTTTTTTGGCTACTTTGGGAGTTGACCCTGCACAAAACTTGGCAAAATACAAAAGMTGGCTAGGTGTGCTGATACAACTATCCAATAGAAGCATTGCCGTTATGTAATAATGCACAGTCTATGATCATACAACAAACGATGTGCAGAGTCAAGGACCTTCCAACATACATCTTAGCCTGTTAGTTTGCTTCTTTGATGTTTATCGGGCCTCTTAACCATTATTCCCTCGATTAACTACGATGAAATGAATGCGTTGGTCCTTAAAAATTTGCGTTCCCTAATTGCTTTTTTTCGTGTTGGTTTGTTTAAAGGTGGTAGCTTTGATTCTGGTCAGGCATATCAAGGTAGCCTGAGCCGAGTGAATGTTTGGAATTTTAGAATTGCCGAGAAAATAATAAAGCAGATGTCAAGAGGATGTGGATTATGGAGTGGAAACGTAGTTTCTTGGTACAACTTCAAGAATAACATCTTTGGAGATTTACAGATCATTACTCCTTCATCATGCTCGCTTGCAGGTGAGTCTGGGATTCTAGGAGGGTTGCAATGGGCTTAACCGTCAACCGTCAAATGGCCAAAACATGAACCCTCAACCGTTAAAAACGCAACATTTTTACCATCAACCGTCAAATGAGCAAGCCAATATTAGCTGTCAAATTTCTCAGATATCCTTAATCAAGAACTAAAGGGTTGACTTAAATGGGCTCAAGTTGTGCTATTTATAAATGATTCTCGAGAGTAGGCGATTAATACGTCCAGCGGTAACAAAGGTGATGACATTACGCTAATTTAACTCGTACTTGAAAATCAAAGACGTAATTTTTAATGCACGAAAAGTAAGGCTAATTAAATGGATTAATTAAATATGGGCAAAATTTTTCCTTTTAGGACAAATTTTGACAGGCAAATTTCGCGTTAATTTCATGTTATAAACGTCATTTCGAAAAATTAACCGTCCATCGTCAAGTGACCTAAAATTCAACCGTAACTCGTCAAAACGGCACTCCACCCCATTGAGACTCTCTTCTAATTTTTGAACGTTGAGACGTTAGGAAATAAAATGGTGACGTAGTCTTTAATAAGTCTGTTTGAAGTTCAAAAATCCTGTTCACAGTCCTCCGAAGCACGGTAGCTGCCATCGGTAGTTATATCAAAATAAGGTTCTTTAAGGCCGTGTGTACTAACTGGTATACACAGGAACTGCACTTCTTCTGGCTACTGTTGTTAGTAATGCTGTTGTTCCTGCTTAATACCGCAATAGGCCATTTCCGAATTACCTCAGGCCTCTCTCTCAAAGTGAGCTTTGGTGCCCATCCTTTCATATGAAACTGAGATTTAATTCATTCACATTCAAATTAAATTCATTTTCATATGAATAATTGTGCACCAGGGCTCACTTTGATAGACAGGTGTAAGACAACCCGGAAATGGGCTACTGTCCTGATGTAAATAACGTTGTGTAAAACGCACCAAAGTGCGTCATAGTTCTATAATTCTCTTTTTCAGTGTCCACAGTTCAAGCTAAGAGAGACGACTACTGTCAAAATCGTTACGGCAGTGCACCAAAAGCGGATTGTGGGACAACTCTAAGAGCATTGTTTGATAGCAAACACAACCAAGTTGGAAAAGTATGGCGCTGTTTTTATGACGTGGCACTTACTACAGACTCACACTCAAAGTTGCACGTGTATGACACAGTGCAGAACTCACAATGCTTGCATACAATTCCGGGAAGCCTGTTGTCTATAAACGATTGAAGGAACACTGCTATTCATGATACAACTGCTGCGTTCTCCCTTAGCAAAAGGAGCACGTTCTGTAGACGATGAGAGAATAGTATTTAAGAAATATAAAACATGATCTCCGTGTTTCTATGGAGTTTTAATAAAAATCTACAAGCGTTCTTTCTAGAAAGCCGTTCTCAGATTGGCTACGCTACTCACTATCTATTCTGTTGTAGATAGTGATTAGTGTGCCAGTGAGCGCTTGTTAACAAAATGACGGTCGCTTGTTTGCGTCTTCGAGTTGTCTGTGAGGAGAATTTAGATAAAGTTTGAAGTTTATGACACTACTCAGTCAAGTTCGTCAAGGATGTTACATCTTCAATGTCTTTGTTATTGACGGTGATGCCTTCATGTGATTTGTCATTTATCCTCATGATCTATGTTTGGATAAGTCCTAGTTTGGATAAGACCGCTTCAATTCGCGTAGTTTTCTCTTGCATCTGAGAGTTAGTGTGAGCCAAAGGTGCCAAATCATCGGTACAGGTCTTCAAGTTGGTCTACAAGGGCCGACTGTATTTTGCCGGTTCCTTGAATCAATTGTTGTCTCTTTCATTTCCCAGTCGATGGAGAGAAGGAAAAGAAACGGTGATAGCAGACAACTCTGTCCGAGCCCCGTTTTAACGTTTCAGTTAAACCACCATCATGGAGAATGCTGCAGCTCGTGCATTGCCTCCGTACGTTTTCCTCACTAACGATATGATCTGTCTAGAAATTCCGTAGCTCACCATCAGATCCCACAAGATATTTCCATCAAGTGTCAAACGCCTTTTCATAGTATACGAAGTTTAAATAGAGTTGAGACCTCCATACAAGGGACTGTCCCATAATTATACAAAGGGTGGCTGTTTGATCTGAAGTTGACCTTCAATCATGGACAAAAGTCTTGGGACAAATTTACACTTTTGGCGCTTTTGCACACACGCCAGCGCGAATACAACTTCACCCGACTAACCTCGCCCCCCAACCCCCATACAAAGTTGGAAACTAGTACCTGCAATTTCACCTGATTTTCAACATTGTGTTGGGTGGGGATGGGGGACAACAACGCGTTTTTAAAGGATATAGCAGCGTTTTTTCAAACTTCAGTTCTAAGACACAGATAATTCGTCACATTGCAGAAGTGCCCCAAAGCTTTTGTCCACGATTTTCTGATTTTCACGTCTCGCTGTCTACAAGCACAATCCATATAATAATTGTTAATTATTGACCAACTTTCGGCCTGATGTTCTTAATCCACTTGTTCTTATATGCGGGTGTTTACTGTAGCATACAGTCAAATCTCTCAGCGAAATAAAGTGATTTCCTTTACGTAATAACTTTAAGCGTTATTGAAAAGTACCTACAGGTGATATGAGAAATTCTCTCAAATTTACATTAGCCTTCAGACAAGTGCAATTATAAAATTCCCTCGTGAGGTGGAGGGGGCGGGGGTTGTCAAAAGAGGAAGGTTGTCGGGGGGGAGGGGGGGTAATCTGTAAATATTTGGCTCGATACAAACATACATACTTACTCTTAATTTAAACACGGTAGAAACTCAGTTATATTACAAGACTGAGAAAAAAATAAATAAATAACTGATTTACATGTTAGCCGTGTGGGAGTGCGAGGTGGAAATTAGGTGATTCATGTCAATTTTATAGTTAATAAAAGATCTAATGGCTCTCAGGTTAGATGGAAGGCTATTCCACAAATGTGCCTCACTGTAGCAGAAACTATGCTTTAGAAAATCGGTATGGGGCTTCGGCAGAGCTTTTTTTTTTTCGCTATTATTAAGTCCATAGTCTTTGCTGAGGGTTTAAATAGGTCTTTCAGATACTTTGGAGTCTGATCGTTCATAATTTTATTAATTTCAAATTTGCTTTTTCCTTCTGATATAGAGATTATCCCATCCTAGCTATCCTAGCTAGGATAATCAGACTTATTGATAACCCTAATTGCGTGATTTGGTTGGTTTTGTTATTTTGTCGGCTAATATCAGCAATAACTTTATTCCTTTGTTGACGAGAACCCAGCCCATTAATTAGCTGCTAAGTTTTGTGTGCATCGTTTCTGTTAGCAGTGAGGTTATCGCTTAAGTATAATTATTATTATTCTCGCTGCTTTTAGATCAACCCAGCGAGACTGATCTTTAGTTCGTTACGATTCTTTTTCAGGAAGTTCCTTTTACTCATTTTCCATATTGCCTCATATGTAATCTAGGGCGATACCAGACAATGTTCAGCTTGATTTTGCAACCTTATTCTAGACTAGGCACCAGAAACCCATACCCTATCCCAGTCAAAGGTATTTGCTATGCAAAATAATAATAACAATAATAATAATAATAATAATGTCGTAATCCAATATACGCCAACTAAAACAATACAATACAAACCTACTTATGAGTTTTAATTTCTATTTAAGAACCCCAGATAGCGAGGCCAAAGTGGACCAAACTACCGAAAGGTATTTTTTATTGTCTAATCCGTTTATTTAGGAAAGTAGCAATACACGAGAAATTGTAACGGCAAAGTACACGGTAGGAACTGAATATTACATTTGTCGAATACAACTGTTTGAATTAAGTTATAAAGGACTAATTTCACGATGTAAAATGATACATCAAAATACTGCGGAACTAATCCCTCAGAATTAATAGTCCCGAGGTCAAGCCTTCGTGGGTGTTTGGTGGCAAACAGATTTACGACCTCATCCAAAACAATTTTAACTTGATAATGTATGTGCATTAGTGCGAGGGACGACAGCCTTTCCTGGCCCATGCATGCCCTGTTATATGTATGCAGC